CGGGTGGCCAGGGGAGGTCAGCGCGCCCTGCGTGTGGGGGAGGTCCATCCAGGTGGTCCCCGCGTGAAGGTCCCACCAGGAGCCATCCTCCGTGCCCGGGTGCGTCGGCCGGAACCACGATTCGTAATGGTGGGACATGTCTGGCTGCAGGAGCTTGGAAAAGGGTCCCGGGGCCAAGGGGTTGTCGCTTTCCAGGTCCTCGCAGGTTACGCGGGAGGAGGCCCCCGGGAGCTCATAGCCCTGCGAGAAGTCCACCTCGGGGCCCAGCGGGAGGCTCTGCAGCTCTCCAGGCTGCAGCGGGGAGGGGTAGTCCCCCGCCTCCGGGCTCGTGTGGCCCTGGTATGTCTGGAGGGGCTGCAGGTCGAGGCGCGGAGGGGAGGCGTGAGGCGCGTCCGTGTGCTGGCTGCCCAGAGAGCCGCAGACAGCGGTTAGCATTGCCGGGATGCGGGATGCGGTGGGGGTCAGGGACGGTCAGGGGCTCCCCAGGTGAGACCTAAAGGAGGCAAAGGAGAGGCGAAGTGAGCAAAATCACCAGCTCACCTTCAGTCCCAGCCTAGTCCCCTCCCCGCGAAGTGCCCCTCCCTCCCTCTCCACGCCCCCAGGTGGAAAAGAGAAACGCACCTCTGGTTGGGCGATTCAAGGTCAGTTAACTACGAGAGAACTAGGAAGACTTGAGGGTGTGAAGGTCTCGGCCAAGGGCAGAGGATGATGGAAGTCTCCCTTCCCCTACGCTACCTCTCCTACAGGACCCAGCTTATCCTGGGAGTTGGGCTGGTCCCCGGCTGGAAGGGAGGATCCTCCTACAGGACAGCGCTCACACCCGCCGACCCCAGCTGCCCCCTGCAGACCTGCCACCAGCCCAAGTGGAGGATCTAGCCCCATCTCAGCTTTCCCACTTTAACTCAAGATACAGGTGGGGAGAGGGAGGTGGCCTGTTTCTGAAACTCAAAGCTTGAGGTTATCTGACTTCCCAAAGCCCGAAGCAGATTCTGGGATTTTGGAAAAGAAAAAAAAAACAACCTGAATTCCATCTCTGAGGCATGTTCCTTGAGGAAGAGCAGTTCTCTGCCCAGCCTCGTTCTCCCCAGCTCCCTGCCTGGCCCTCACGCTTCCCCTCGGGCGAGGACTTCACCTCCCTGGGGTTCAGCGCAGTGCCAGTTTCCAGGGGACTTCTCGCCACCAGAGAAAGTTAAGCCCCCTGCCCGGTCCTGACCCACACTGGTGCCAGCCGGCTCTCTCCAGCTGCTACCCATGCCCTCCTGCCATGAGCGGAGACCCAGATGTGAAGCGGGGAGGGGTTGGCTTCCCAGAGAAGGGGGTCAGGAAGAGAAGAATTCACCATCAAGCTCAAGAAGGTAGAAATGACACTCCTGCCCTGGCCAGTTTGGCTCAGTGAATAGAGCCTGGGCCTGTGGACTGCTGGGTCCCGGGTTCCATTCCGGTCAAGGGCATATGCCCCAGTTGCAGGCTCAATCCCCAGTAGGGGGTGTGCGGGAGGCAGCGGGTCAATGATTCTCTCTCATCATTGATGTTTCTCTCTCTCCCTATCCCTTCCGCTCTGAAATCAATAACAATATCCTTAATATATATATTAAAAAAACAACAAGCAAAAAGGGAAATGCGAAAAAGAAAAGAAAAAATAAAAAAAACAACAAAAGGCCGACACTCCTTAAGGGATGCAGGGTCAGAGTGGGGGAAAGCAGAGGGCGACAGGAAAAGCCAGAATCACAGAAATTAAGAGGAAGACTTGCCCAAAGGGTTTTTAATAACGGGGTGTATTCTAGGCGTGGGTCATTTTTATTTTATTTATTTTTTTAAAGAATAAAACAAGTAAGTTCTTTACTTCAAATAACTAAGAAGCTAATTTAATCATTTTTAAAAACTAACTTCAAAGGAAGACAGAGAGAGAGAGAGATTGATCGGCTGCCTCCTGCACGGGCCCTGACTAGGAATCGAACCTTCTACCTTCTGGTGTGTGGGATGATGCTCCAACTAACTGAGCTACACTGGCCAAGGCTAGGCAAGTATCATTTATAGGAGTCCCGTGGATAATTCTAATATGCAGCCAAATGTTGAGAACTACCGTTCAGACTAACACTCTTGAAAAAGAGGAAACTGAGGCAGTATTTGGAGAAGCGACTTGAACAAAGACATTCATTTATTCATTCAACCAACAGCTATGGCCCTAGCCAGTTTGGCTCAGTGGATAGGGCGTCAACCTGCGGATTGAAGGGTCCCAGGTTTGATTTCGGTCAAGTACCCCGGTTGCAGGCTCAATCCCCAGCCTTGGTCCGGGTGCTTGTGGGAGGCAACCAATCGATGTGTCTCTCTCACATCAATGTGTCTCTCTGTCTCTCCCTCTTCCTTCCACTCTCTCTAAAAAAAGCAATGGAAAAATGTCCTCTGGTAAGGATTGAAACACACACACACCCACAAAGTATGTACTGTATGTGTCTCTGTGAACCAGGTCTCTCCACTCTCCCTGAACCACTGGGAACCTGAAGACCTGCACCCCTTTCTTGACCATCTATCTGTGATATGAAGGTCCCCCTCTTCTCACCATCTCTCCCTAAGGCTCGGGAGCCCCAGGTGTGGGGTTCCTATCTGATTGGCAGAGGAGGCGCTTTGGTTTCGGGCAGGGACTTTCCACGGCGGGGCTCGGCTGACCCTACTACCTCCTGCCTCTGGGAGCAGTGAGGTGGCCGCAGGAGTCTGGCAGAGGGAGAGGGAGAGGGGCTGGGGCGCCTACTCAGGCTCCTGCGGCCTCACCACAAGAAAGGAACCGGGTGAAGCTGCAGGAGTGGAGCCTCAGGCCCAGGCGGGGCAGCCCAGGAGGGGCTGGGCGGGAGCAGCGAGGCCTGGGACCCTAATAGCTTTTGGCGCCTGGGAACGGCCCCAAAGGCGAGGGGGTGGGGAGGCTAACGACCCAAGCTCCACGGAGTGGCCCCTCCCGACCCAGGGCAGGCAGCCCAAGCCCGGGATGCACGGCCTGCCAGCGAGGTTTCGGGGTGGGAGACCGCAGGACGCACACTCCCGGCTTCGCGCTCGCCAGCGCGGGAAGGCGGCTAGAGACACCCTCTTCCCCTCTCCCCCGCTGCCTCTCGGATCACCGGCGCTCCGGTGGCCGGTCGGACTTCCCTACTCCCCGTCCTCAAGGTTCAAGTCCTCCGGTTGTCCCAGTCGCTCCAGTTTCCCCAGTTTCCAGTCTCTCCCGTCCGCCCAGTTTTCTCTCCGCTGGGGCTCTGAGCCCCTCGGATTCTGC